AAATGGGTGTTAAGAAAATTCAATCCAGATTCATTAATCACAAGATTATGCTTCAATGATATAATTATATCAAAGGTATGGATTGATAGAGAGTTGTTACTCCATCTTGAAAGATCAATACCAGGAAGAATGACTAGTTGTGCATTGATTTGATTATACATACTTACAATGAATTTTGTCAGAATAATGTTCCATTTGAATTGATCCATTTAAATTTATTAAAGGAATCAAACAATATAACAACTTTAAAACCATTTTTCGAAGGTTTTTTACCCCAAATTTTTAATCTAAAACCAACTTTTAAATATAATAGCAGTATCAGTACCAGGAGTGGTGGATTGAAAAAACAACAACTATTACAAAATCGGCCTCTTTTTAAACTGCTTGATGTTCATGAGAAGAAAATTGAAGTTGAAAAGAGAACAACATTATGGTTTTCTGAGTTGGAAAAAGTTTATCAAGAAGTAACAATGCAATTAAATACAAATGCACATAATAATCAATTCACTTTGAATTTTGTATTTTGTATGAGAAATTTTTGGAATAGACTTATAGCAGAAACTGATTATATTAACAAACCTAAATCAACAAAAAGAAAAATTGGGACATTGGCACAACTTGGAACAGAAAATGAATTGGGGATCAATAAAAGAAAAAGAAATTTGTATAGGAAACTTAGATAGAAAACTTGAAGAAAGAAAAATATTATTAATATTTTTTCACTACCATTATTATTATTATCTTTAATGCTTAATGGAAATATCCTTTTAATATAATTATGCCACATATGAATATTCATATTTGTATATGATTATATAATTATATCTTCTAACTGAATTAAGATTGCTGAGATTTTTTTGGCAATGGTTATTCTTTAAGATTTATATTATATTATTATATATATATATATATATATATATATTATATATATACACATAATTATTTTAAAAAAAAATTAAGTTTTATCATTTCACATACTTGCTGAAAGATAAAATTCACCCTCTTTACACTTGTGTAAATGTATTGAACATTTAAAGGTAAGTGTTTGAGAGTGTTACTCAATCTTTAAAAGAGTATATAGTATGATAAATCTTATGAATTAAAAATAATTAAAGATCACATTTTATAAATTATAAAACATCACTAATAATTATTACTTAATTTTCAAGTATAATAATAGGAATGGAGGAAACATCACTAATAATTATCACTTAATTTTCAAGTATAATAATAGGAATGGAGGAAACATCACTAATAATTATCACTTCAAGTATAATAATAGGAATGGAGGAAGAATCACACAGGGCTTTCATCACATCTTAGGGTCATTTTCCTTGATCTCTATTTCCTTTACATTTATTTATTTTCTTTTATTCATTGTGATAATATAACTATTGTTTTAAACTTTTATTATTATTATTATTATTATTATTATTATTATTATTATTATTTTATTATCTATCTTTTATTCATTTTTAATCCCTCTTTTTTTTACTATATAGAAGCTTTAGTATATTCATCCAAATAAACAGGTTTGTATATCATAGTAAATATAAGATGCTTTGGGTTAAAAAATTATTTTTGCGCAACCAGGATGTAGCCTGGAAACTTGCAATTTATTATTACTTTGATCTATTCAATTTCATTATCTATCACCAACCCCAACCTTAATATATGTATGATATATTAGATATTTATTGGTTGATCTCACTTATAAATAGATGTAAAATAGAAAAATTACAAGTAGATCTTTTTGAGCATGTGACATCAACAAAATCTGTGTAACTAAAAATTTGTGCAGAAAAATAACCTGTGCAACAGAATTTGTTGAAATTTTAATATTAATATTAATATGAAAGAAAAGGAAAATATCAAAATGTGCGCATTTAGTTACACGGGTTCTGTTTGATGTTACACGATATAAAAGATCTGCCTGAATTTTATGCACTATCTGTTACATAAATTTTTAAAATTTTATTATAAAAAGGATGATAAAATTCAATAATGAAAATTTTATTTTTTAAAAAAAACCTCCAAAATCCTATAAAAAAATTTATTTTTTAAAAAAACCCAAAAATAATATATAAAATTTTTAAAAATGTATCAAAATTATTTTGAAACTAATAATGATAATGATTCTAACAACAATATTAATATTAATAACCAATACTTTGTTCCTAATGCTAATAATTATAATCATGCCAATCATGTCAATCAAGCTGCTGACTACTATAGTAGTTACATTCATCAAAGCACTGAGGACAATAACCTCAATCACCAAAGCAGCCAGAACTCTGGAAATAATTACTTTAATCAAAACTTCAGGGATGGTAATTTTGTTCATCAGAATAATATTACCAACCAAAACTTGAGTGATAATAGTTTTGTTAACCAAAGCTTAACTAGAACAAACTACTATAACAATGATATCATTGTTCAGAATCCAACTATTGCTACAAGCATTAATCATCCAAACAATTTTTTTGACAGCAATTTCATTGGTCATCAAAACTCAAATAATTTCATTGACCAAAACAACAATAAACAACTACTTGTTTACATAGTATCTCAGCTTCAAAATCTCCAAAATCTTGTAAATCAGTTTTTGGATAACAATAACAACAATAACAGATAATTTGTAAACCAATCAATCAATTTATTATTTCATTATTTTTTTATAATTTTTATTCTTTGAGAAATTTTATACTTTTTTTATATTTTATATTTTATTTTGTAAATCCAGTTATATTAATAACAAGCATATAATAAAATTCATTACTATGTTGTGTCAAGAATAGTATAAATTTAAACATTTAAGTTATTTCAATTCAGCCATCACCTCAATTTATTATGACAATGAAAACTTTGACCTCTATACTGCTAGATTGGAAAAATCCGAAGGTGCTGAAGCTATCAGATTAAGGTGGTATGGTGGAAGTTATTTGATTTTTAAGAAGGGTTTAAAAAATAATCCAATTGGGAAAATTTATAAATATACCCACTATTTGTTACCTTCCAACTGAAAAGCAAGTGGAATGAGTTTTAATAGCTTTTGGGATGATAATATGAAACGTTATTTGCCCCTCAGCCCCTTGGATGATGTTAATAGTATATCATTGATATTCTATTAAAACTAGGTGACTAGAGGACTTAGAACTTTGATTTACTATGATATGAAATTTGCTATTGAAAAATGCCCAATTTTTGCCTGTTGTGCTAGAACCAGTAAAAAGAATCATCAGTTTATTATATCAAAGATCTCACTTTTATACAACTTCTATTTGATTTCTCATAAAGCAAAGGACCAGTACATATAATATTGTACATAATGAACCTTGATTTAGAATACCTTAATTTAATGGATTAAGATCCAAGAACAATAATAGTTGTAAGAATTACTTTTCTTAACAAGAATAAAAACAATATTATAACACGTTTGTCGAACAGGTACTTTAATTATTGTAAAAATACAAGTTATCTTTATTATCTTAAAAATGATGTCCTTTATATAATAAAATTACATAGATTGATATGATATAAATAAAATATAAATAATAATAAAAGATTGATAAAATATAAATAAAATAATCATAATAATTCTTATCAATCTATCCGGAAGATTTGTGGACATAGATTAGTAATAAATAATAATTAAAGACACGAAATAATTGATGTTAGTAGGGAAAAAATGTATGTTCTGGCACACTTTTTTGCTACCCCGCGTCGTACTTTTTGCTATATTAGCTCCATTTTTGCTTTTGTGCAATTCTAGAGAATTTAAAAAAATTGAGGTAATCAAAAAATTGATTTGCTTCGTACTTTGAGGTACGACAAGTTTGCATTTGCGTCGTACTTTTTATAAACACCCGAATTTTTTTAAATGAATCCAAATAAGCTTAATTTAATTCTAGGACCATAATTTGCAACTCAATAAATTATACTTGCTTCGTAATTTTTTTATATATTTTACAAGCTTAATTCTATATAAAAAAACCAAAAACATTAATAGAGATAAAACATATTTTTACCAATTTAATCACTTTATAGGTTAATAAAAAAAAATAATATATCAGATAAACTTAAAAAAGGCTAAAACATTCAAGAAATAAAGTAGTTGAAATGAAGTTTTTATGTCTCCAGCAAATCAAATAGTATAATTTATTCATATAATGTGCAAAAATTAATTAAAAAGAAAATAGATATAAATTTTTTTGCTACCATCTATAAATTTTGCTACCTTTTTTTTGTGTTATAGAATATTAAGAAATGACTTTAGATTATCTTCTACTACAATAGTTATTATCAGTATAGAAGAATTATTTAAAAATGCTTTTGGAAGTTAAGTTGAGGGTAGCAAAATTTTCTTCATACTACGACGGATTTAAATTTTTTGATTTTTTTCGTACCACAGTTGCGTAATACATAAAAATAATAGCAGATCATTCTGGAAAATACTACACAATACTAATTAATACACGCGTTTTCTAAAAAAGATCATAAATATAAAATAAATTTAAGAAGCAAAATTTTTTAGCGGAGCTAGCATGGCTAAGTACCAAAATTTTCTAAGACAGGACAACGTTTTTTCTTAAGATGTTTCTGAAAATATCTTGAAGAATAAAAACCTCTTATATGATCTTTACAACGACCAGAAGCAGAACGATTAGGCTTACTACAAACAGAGCAAGGTATTCTAGGTATAGCATTTTTATGATAACAACAACCTTCAGGTTGCATACAAGTACGCCCGCAAAAATTACCAGAATATAAAAGAAAATGGCAAGTATATTCGCCAAACATTGTTTGTAAATATAATATAAATATATATTAGGCAAATTTTCAATTTAAACAAAAATATATATATTAGTAAAACATATAAAATATACTACCAAAATCAATCATAAAAAAAATAATTTTGAACGCATAAGCAAAAATGAGCACTCAAGAAAATACTGCAACCAAACCAACCTGGAAAGATTTTGAAAAAGCAATAATAGAAATTTTAAGAGCTGGAATTTATTATAGAAAACCAAAAGACAAGGGTTTTATGAGCTGGTATAAAAAACTATTAACGGAATTACATAGTGCAGAAGAACCTGAAATGTATGTATATGAAAAAGCAATAGATAAATTCCCTAATGAGGAAGTATATAATCAAACAATGGAAGAATTTAAATCATATTATAAAAAAGAATTAAAAATACGTAAAGCAATTGAAAATTATTATAATATATGTTATAATATATGCAAAGAATCTTTTAATACAGAAGAAGGGATAGATGAAGAACTTAATGAATATATTAATTCTTAAGAACCCATTCTGGCGGTAATTCTGTATCATTGGGTATAACCATTAATTCTTCTCTAACAAAGGATCGCTTAGGACCAATACCATCATCATTTATTAGCCAATATAAAACAGGTTGATTTTTTTGTATTAGCGATTTTTTTATATGATAAATCTGGGGAGACCAGTTACAATCAGTTGCACGTTTTTTTCCACCTTCTAATTCTCCAGGTTCCAAAAGATGCCGAACTTCAGTATAGCTAGGCAATAGAATTTCATCATAGCCAATTGGTCTATTATATTTTGTGGATGATTTAGCATATA